AAAAATAAAAAGAATTCTCATAATTATTACACTCGGAACCGTCTCAAAGACCCAAGATTAAAATAATTCGAATTCATTTTATTGGCGAATATCTCTTTGGGATTAGCGCGCTCTCTGGGCGCGCTAACTACGAATGTAGAAATAGCTATTTCCATATTTTTCCCTGGAGTTTGCGACCATAAACACCAGTTCTCGTATGATCACTGAAGTTAACCAACATCAAGCTTGTTAATTAACTATTGAGTGACCGCTTAGTAATATCAGGTGATGTAAGTTTGGATGTTCGGACAGTATAATGGCTAACGATTCAGTATTGGAAGTGGGAGAGCCAAGTTGCAATTCCAATATTTATCCTTATATTCGCTTCCGCTCAAATTTCCTTGCCGAAGATATGAATCTTACCTCGTTTTGCCCCAACTATAAATTAAAGGAATTGTATCAGCAAATCATTATCTCAAAAAAATTAAAAAATTAAAAAAAAAAGAACTCTTATAATCTCAAACATTTTCTGGTTTTAAATAAACTGCAAAAGTTTAAGTAGTCGTAAAAAATGTACTCCTTACTTAACGACTAACCTGTTTAACGACTCGGACTTACGAACAACTACAAAATCTCATGAAATAAAAAATTTTAAAAAATAAATCCGATTAGTAGGTATTGTACATTTTACGGAAATTTTTATTGCAGGAGGTTTTTTTTTTGTCTTCAAAAGGAAACAAATGAAATGAAATGAATAAATAAATTAAAAAATAAATAAAATTTTACTTCTGCTATATATACTGTATGTGCAGTGGAGTTAATGGATAGCGAGGACTGAGAAATAAGAGAGCCGAGTTCGAATTCCATTCAAACTCAACACATTCACTTACGTGTTAATACCCTTGGGGAATATAAATTTAAAGTTGCAAATAGTAAAAAAGATGTTCTCGGAAAGATATTTAATACTTACTAAGTTCCTTTCAAACGTCAAATTGACCAGTAGCACTTCTTCTCCCGCAATCTAATTGTAAATAGCAGGGTAGACTGGGTTCTATAGCCTTAGGAAAAGGAAAATTCTGAATTTAAAACCAGCCTAGATAGAGTTGGCTCCATTAGGCTTTCTTGCCCCGGAAGTACCAATGCTACTGCAGCGGCAGTAAATGTTGTGCTGCTACAAGCCTAATAGGGTTATGGGTTTCGATATCGTGATAGAATGGAAACCAATTTAACGTGCAGAATATAGAGCTGACTTTCGAATTTGTTACAGGTACATTTTCTCACTTAGAAACAAGTTCGTTTAACGACCATGTCTTAAGAGTTTGGTACGGTCGTTAAGTAAGGAGCGGGTGTATTCTCTCATTCCTGTTAATTTTACTCTGTATACGTTTCGTGTTTCTTCTCCCATGAGCTTTTCAAGATAAAATCAATAAACTAAGTTTCTTTACCATGAGACGTCCAACTTCTTTGAAACAATGCCTCTTCAAGACATAAGTCATCCATGGCTCTTCACAGCCTTCTTTTATGTCAATAAACCGTGTCTGACCCTTCTAGGAGAATACGTTAAAGTGATTTTCTATGCTTTCTCGGCGATTTTGAATTCAGAAATATCCTTCTCCTAGACTGGTTGCCTTATCAAGGCTAAAGTGCCTACAGCAACTTATTTCAAGCACAGAACATATTAAGAAATTATATGTCAATTCAAAAGATATTTAGACAGTATTCTCTTTATTATACGTCATTCAATACAATTATCGAGAGGTAGAGGGCTACAGTTGAAATTAAAATTTGGAATGCAGAGAGGATATGATTGAAAGATAACGTGATAAGAAGTGAAAATGATAATGATAAGGAGGATGGATAATTATAGATCCTTGACCTAGAGATCGTAGGGTTCAAGGAGCTATTTCTTGGGAAAAGCCGCCTGTGTTGATCTTTCTTTTCATATTTTGGAACACGGATGAAATGACAGTGATTCGACACCTTGGGTGAAGCACGGGTTATTCTATTTGATCTTAATTCTTGTTATTTTATTTATTCTCTCTTCTTGATAGTCTATTTATCATGTTCTCAAACACTCAGTAAGCCACCCCCTTGCGTCTTAGCGGCTTTATTGCCTTGCTTGATGTGAAATGATAAAAACAATTCATTTTAACATATACCTCGAAAATAGCGCTAAATTATAGATAAGCTCGCAATATATATATATGAGATGCGGCTGAAAGGTTTTCATGCCAACCATGTGTGTATTTATACGAAAACATTCTTTTCATTTGTGGAGTAGGCCAGGCCGAGAACTTTTCAGCACATACTCAAATACACACATGCACTCACACACACACACACACACACACACTCACACACACATATGCATGTATAAGATATCGCACATTCAGTGCTGGTGTTAATAAAATAGTGCACATTGTAATATATATATATATATATATATATATATATATGTGTGTACTGTATATATATGTATTATATATATATATATATATATATATATATATATATATATATATATATAATTTAGGAATATCTTTAAGGGAGTGAGGTGCAAATATATATTACTATATTAATACTATCTATGTAAATTTTTTTCATATAAACTGATATGTGTGTGTGTGTGTTACAATGTTTAACAGGTTACGAAGAAGAGTTTATAGTCAGTAAGTTTAGGAAATCAAAAATATCCCAATCGAAAAGCAATAAAGAGAGAAGCGATTGTTGAAACTGTAGGCGATGAGAAGCAGATAAAATATTTAAAAAAAAAAGAAAAATTCTCGATAAACTTAGATTCTGAGTTGAGATGGCTCATAAAATTAAAGAATAAACTCTCTTCATAAAGATTCGCCTGAGCTATTAAATTATAAAAGCAAGACACCTTAATTGGATCTGGGACTGATTTTGATTCGATAAAGAGAGAACGCTTAGACAGCCGGAAAGTGATCGGAGATTGCAGGTGCCCAGAGATATGTTTTTAATCATTTTTAATGCAATATTTGTTCAAGGGGAGTTTATCCATGAGGGAGTTTGAGCGCTCAATAAACTGTCTTAATGTAAACACGTGACGCGTCCAATGGCAATGGTTCTGATCCCGGAACATTGTCGGCGTCGTTTGGCGAGATAATGAAATAGCAAGCAAGAAATATCCGCCAGCTGAGTTATTGAATATAAACTGACATTTTAATATTTTTCCTACATCTCCAAGACAAAACGCCGGGCGCATTCATTCTCTTCAGCAAATAATAGCAATGAGCAAATAAACAAGTAAATTTTATTTCGCAAACATTTCAATGCGTTCAAGCGTAGTGAGTTGATGATGTTTGAAATGTACATAGGATCACGTACTAATATTTCCGTGTTTTTCTTTTTTTTAGCATTGTTCTGTTTTCTTGTGTTTGCGTGTGTGTTTGCGTGTGTGTTTACGTGTTTGTGTTTCCTTGTTTCTATTTGCGTTTGCAGAAGAGTGATAGAGATCGATAGAGATACGGAGAGAGAGAGAGAGAATATGTTTCATTGGGAAAAGCAAAGGGAAGGGCATATTAAGGTTCGTGACGAATTTAAAAGACAAATAGGCCGGTTTCTTAATCAAAATGACATTCAACTCATGATATCATCATACTTCGTCATGATGAAGTCAATAGCGAGGTAGCCTGGCAAACCATTTCTAGTACAGCGAGTTTGATTCTCACCAGGTGACCTTGGAACTGTGCATTCACTTACGTAATTCCGAATCGACTACCGAACTCAAAACAAACGTGAAGATGTCTAAGACTGCATCCTTGCCACTACAGGGTTCTACAGAGAGATACTAAGAATGCCAATTCCATTGACGGAAAGACTACGACTAAAACTAAATTTCTACTAAGAATCAGGAAGAGTTAGCTGAAAATTCCGGAACACATAATCAGGAAAGATAGCTTTGACAATTTGACACTCAGAGGGATATACTGATGCCAATAGAGGCAAAGGGAAACATCGAGTAATCTACTGAAGCTTGTGTAAATGGATAAAAAAAAACGGACTGAGAAGGTTTGTTTGTTTGTTTTGTTTTTACGGCATATCAACCTAAATGGGTTAATTAATGCCGTCAAGATTTTTATTGCTAGTAATATTTTTTCTTCAAAAATCTATTTCTGGTAATATTTTTCCTTCAAAAATGTATTGGTGGTAATATTTTTTTCAAAAAATATATAGCTGGTATTTTTTAAAAAAAAAACGTATTTCTGGTAATATTTTTTTCCCTCAAAAATTTATTGCTGACAATAATTTTTTTACAAAGTATTTCTGGTATTAAAACTATTTTACACTTTCATAGTGTTTTGACCCCAGTTTGAGGGTTAACTATTTGCCTATAGCTGGGCCCCTAACAGGTGCTACCAACCTGGATCAGGGTGAACGTAGGAACACCAGCAATTAAGAGGTGGTTCCACACTCCTCAAAACCTCCTAATCAGAGGCCTTGCTGTTAGGAATAGTTTATCGTCTTACCCAGGACGCGGATGTAGTTTACCGTCATACGGAGGACAGGACTGGGAACGAGAGTATGACGTCCAATCAGTTGTGGAGAGCCATGATCACACATGTCCTGAAGATCTAGGCAAGAGATGTTTATCTTTTTAAATATATTTAGGCTTCCAATGAAGCACTTTCTTTAAAACAATTCTGATTTTGGAAAATAATCTAGTATAAACATTTTTATTACGATTATCAAGTCTTTACCTATAGTTTGATTTATCGGAAATCTCAGAAGCTCATTGTTTTTGTTTCTTTTTCAGTTCGATGTCCATCGGATACGATATAAAATACCGTCTAAAGCCAGACGAGGTTTTGTTTGCTGTTAAAGCTGTCTGGACGATCATGTCTCTTTCGATTCATGACTGAATAGGCAGAAGATTTCTCAACAGTAGGTTGCCGTTACTTTTTGTTACAGACTGGTCGCCACCCAAGAATATAGGATCCAATATCTCCTGCTATTTAACCCATAGAGAGGAGATGAATGAATCTCTGACCATACAGAAACGGCGCTCTCTCTCTCTCTCTCTCTCTCTCTCTCTCTCTCTCTCTCTCTCTCTCCACCCATCTGGGAACAACTTTGTCTTCGGTGATTTTAATACGCACCATGACATCTGGCTTAAATACTCAAATATTACTAAATGTGTTGTTCCTGATGACGGTCGTCTTTGAGTATAGAATCCAGAGGTTTGCAGTAAATATTTCGAAGACAGTAGGGAAGCGTAGTTCAGGTTAGCAGTGGATATCCCGGTAAAGTAGCAGAGCGTAGTTCTTCCTTCTGTTCCTCTTCGCCTGACAAGCTGGCACTGGACATTCGGATAGAGTAAACAAAATGGCCGCCTTTATACACGACGGATTGAATATTCTACGCATTCTGATTGGTTAACCCTTCTCTTGGTGGACTATAAAATGAGTCAAGTCATTTTGACTGGCTCACTAGTACATATATCCACCAAAAAATTGCAACAAAATGTAGCCACTATTCTAACATTAATCTTTCCATTGCTCAAATCCTTAATCAAATCATGGATTTCCCCTACCCGTCTTCCTAGGAAATCCGAGCAACAGACTCCTCTACTTGATTTAATTTTATCTCCTATATTCGCAATTACCGAGCTTCACAACACTATCTTTCAGTGATCAGTTTGTAGTATCTTATTGATATTTCGTCCCAGTTAAATAGGATCTTCTTATCCATATCTATTTCTGTTACCAACATGCTGATTTGAACCCATACCTTTATTTTCTTCAAGGTGTCCCCTGTACTAACATTTTTAGTCATCAAATTGAGTATTGTACCACTGAGGTTTCCTCATAGGTCAGAAGTCGGCATGTTTGCTTTCATTCCTTCTCCAAAATACCAGATGAAACTACAATTTTCTCCACGGTTCTCACCAGCATGCACTGTCGCTGTAGCTCACAGGAACCATCATTTTCTGCAATACCAGCGTTACAGCTCGCATCACAACAGACGCCTATTCCGTTGCCTTTCATAATAAAAGTAAATGAGTCGTCGAAGAAGCTAACTCTGTTTGCTGAGAGAACGGGGCACTTTGCATCTAACAACTTTGGCTGTCGTAATTATTGGCGACTCTGTAATAGCATTTTAAATAAGTGTAAATTCTCTATTTCCCTTCTCCTCAGTCAATTTGAGGTGTTAACATCTTCTGTTGATAAAACTGAATGTTTCGCCTGTAAATTTTCTTTAAACTCTACTCTTGAATAATCTTGTGTATGACTGACTAACTTCCCACTCAGAACCGAATCTCTGTTGAGTGTTATGGATAATACCCCTTCTATTAGTTCTGCGATTATATCTAACCTGGATCCCCGCAAATCATGCGCACCTTATTTTATTCTTGTAATATCCATTACGAAGTGTGCTTCAGAACTGGCTCCTATTCTCTCTAAACTGTATAATAAATGGCTCGCCATTTCTTGCTTTGCTGCATGTCCTTATCTGTTTTTTTCAGTTTTTAAGAAGTCGGTTGAACCGTTCAGCCCTTTCAACTATCGGCTTATTAACCTTCTACTTCTTTTATGGAAAATCCTAGAGGTCTTAAACAATGCTTTCTTTTGTCAATGCACTGACTATAATTGTGGAAAGAGTCTATCAAGTACTAGATAAAAATGGCGAAGCCCGGGCTTTAGATTTGGACATCTCGGGTTTGGCATACAGGTCTTCTCCACAAGCTGATAAGTTACGGTGTCTCCGGACAAATTTCTGAACTTTCTCATCAAATCGTGAAATGAAAGCTATTCTGATCGGACACTCGCCCATATCAGTTCGTATTATTGCATGTATCCCCCAGAGCGCCATCCTTGGTCCTACTTGGGTTTTTTTTTATTATTTCTAATAATAACCTTCCCGATGGTATCAGCTCTGATCTTAGTATCTACGCTAATGACACAAGCATTTACTCCTCCTCGGAGAATTCAAGTAAGATACAACGGTTCAAAACTTAATCTAGCAATTGGACAATTTTGTTGTTACACAATATATATATATATATATATATATATATATATATATATATATATATATATATATATATATATATTAGGTTTGGTTTGGTTTGTTTTGGTTTGGTGTGGTTTGGTTTGATTAGTTTTACGGCATATCAACCTCAATGGGTTATTTAATGCCGACAAGATTTTTATTGCTGGTAAAATTTTTTCCTTCAAAAATCTATTTCTTGTAATATTTTTCTTCAGAAATGTATCGCATGTAATTTTTTTTTCAGAAAAGTATATCTGGTCTGGTAATATCTTTTTTCAAAAATGTATTGCTGGTAATAATTTTTTTCTTCAAAAACTTATTGCTGATAATAACTTTTTTTTTTACAAAATATTTCCGGTATTAAAACCTATTTTACATTTTCATAGTGTTTTGATCCCAGTTTGGGGGTTAACTATTTGCCCATAGCTGGGACCCCAACTGGTGCTACCACCTCGGGTCAGGGCGGACCCGGGAACACCAGCAACCAAGAGGTTGTTCCACGCTTCTCAAAACCTCCTGATCAGAGGCTCTGCTACTGAACTCACTTTGTCGTCTTACCCAGAAATTATACTCGTTTGGAAAAAAACCTTTGGTGTTTTGGCTGGTAAATGAACAAACCAATTCCCAAGGAAAAATAAGGGACAAAAAAAGAAAGAACTAAGAACATGTAATTGAGGCGGTAACAAACGTCCAGAGTCCAAAGAAAAAACCCTCCAAAACGAGTATTGCAAATGTAACTAATAAAGTGCTCAATATACTAAGTAGAGAAAATCTAACTATGAACCTCAAGAGCCAGGAAACCTACCTAAGTTTCACCTACGCGGATCATCAGTCATAGTTATATATATATATATATATATATATATATATATATATATATATATATATATATTGATACTTTTATCGTGTTACTTTATAAAATACGTTCTTGTCTAATTAATTATTTAATTAAATTCATACCGTACATAGATATGAACAGACTGGCATAATTATACACACACACAGGCGTATATATATATATATATATATATATATATATATATTATATAAATATATAATTATTTATTTAAAAATATGATTCCAACACGCTACATAAGAGTTCTCATGTTTCAAAACAAGAGCCGACAACTTCAATATAATTATTTGAATTATAGTGAATTAAAGTAAGCTCTGTTCCATCTTCAACCGAAATTTTTTTTGGATTAACTTATTTCTGAAATTTACGTGTTTTATATGCATATTCATTACCTAACAAGTTCTTTACTATTTTCTATATATTTTCACACACACACACACACACACACACACACACACACACACACACACACACACACACACACACACACATATATATATATATATATATATAGATAGATAGATAGATAGATAGATAGATAGATCGATCGATCGATAGATATATAGATAGATAACTCTCAGTGTATATTTCTACGTATTTTACATGAATATAAATTTATCTACACATCTGCATATATATATATATATATATATATATATATATATATATATATATATATATTCTATTATATTGCTTCTTTTTATGATGTTACTTGATGACATAACTTCTTGTCTAATTAATTATTTAATTAAATTCATACTGTACGCGTCTGATTTTGTTTTATATATTTGCTTATTAGTTGGACACTGCTTTATCTACAAAGTTAATGGGAAGGGAAGTTTCGTGACTTTGCAGAAAAAATAACACTAAGAATATTTACAACAAACCTGAATATTCATATTCTAATTACGGTTTCTTTGAAGAAAAAATGCCGCGGTACGTGCAGCAAACATTAATTTGGGAATTATAATCATTTATTTGAGATTGAATTCTTATTAAAAATTACGTCTAACGAATATGCTTGACAGTTTGAAATGGACATTTGTCATTTAGGGATTTAGAAATATTTTATGATATCGCATACTTATTGGTGCTTATAAAAATCACAATTTGGACACTTTGAAGTGGTTTAATCTGTAGCAAGCTTGTCTCGCTAGATCAATTACAGCTGAACAGTGAATTAGTTTCTCACTGAATGCTCTATTATTTCGGCCTTGTGCCACGTCTAAGCTACGCTTGGAAAATCGTTTTGGAGCACCTCGGCGTGGTGTAATGATTCGCAACCTAGTTTCGCTAAACAGTTACGACAGAGTAGTGAGTTCGATCTTCACTGGGTGCCCTATACATCGCACTTCTGCCACATCTAAGCAACCCTTAGATCACCCTGTGCACCACGAGGCGGTTTAATTGTTAGAAAGCTTGCTTCGCTCGAACAATTACGACCGAGTAGTGATTTTGGCCCCTACTGAGTGTCCCATGCTTTCGGCCTAGTGCAACATCTACGCAACACTTAGAACATCACGTTGGGCACCTCGAGGCAGTGTAATGGTTAGCAAGCTTGCTTCGTTCGCACAATGACGACCGAGTATTGAGTTCAGCCTTCACTGGATGGTCCATACTTTCGACTTTGCGCCACATCTAAGTAACACTTAGAAAGTCACCTTGGGCACCTCGAGGCAGTGTAATGGTTAGAAAGCTTCACTGTGTGTCCCATACTTTCGGCCTTGTACACTACGTTTGGAAAATCCCTGTAAATGGCATCAGCTGTAGATTTGTTATAAAACAATTTAGCTTGCAAGTAATTGCTTTTGCATCTTTCTGTCTCGATTATGAATCCAAAAGCTGGCGGAATTAACTTTTAAACGGCTGACGTCATTAATTAATTTTTCATTGAATATAATTTATCGATGATTAATTGTTTATCTAACGATACGGGCATCGTTGATTCATTGTTGGATTCTAAATGACTACCCGATAATCCTAGAATTTGGAAGTTTAATATTTACTAAGATTCGTAGTTACATCATTTCCTGGTGTACTTGCCTGCAGATAAAACTGGAAGATCTAGCCAAAATCTGTCCTATCTGTGCATCCATATTTCACGAATAAAACTATAACATTGTGTATAACATCCTGCAAGAAGTGTGTCAAAAGTTTTAAACTTAAGAATTTAATCCTACGATGGTTTTTACTTTTCTGATTTAAAAGAAAATATAATTTTGAGTTTTTACACACAATTAGGAGGTACGGTGGAGTAATGGTTAGCGGCTCGGATTGAGGAATTGGAGAGCCGAGTTCGAATTCCAGTCAGATCTATTACATTCATTTACGTGTTTACCGTCTTATACTCCCTCGCCCCAAGCTATGGGTAAATAGCAGGACAGACCGTGTTCTATAGCCTTGTTTGGCAACTGGTCTACCGAAGAAAGAAATGGCAACGTACTGCTGGAAAAAAATGCGTCGTAAATCATCTATCGAAAGATACATCATCTCCTAAACGTGTACCACGCTTGGCACATAACTGGCCGATATAGAATTAAAGCGAAAATAATCACAGAACCATCAGTTAGAAAAAGGATTTTTCAAGTTTTTTTAACAGTTAGAAATTTCGTGGAAAATTTTCACGCCGTTTAAGGGTTAAGGTGAATGCGCGGAATCCTCGCATTTGGAAAATGGTAGCGCAGAATATTTTCTGCAAATGCATCGAGTAACCAACCTCATGAGCTTGGGTAAATAGATGGCAGAGGCGATACTGGTTTGGATAGTAATGAAATAAATATTGCTTAGAGCAATATATGATAGGAAGTTGTGGTGAGACATTATCACCATCGGCCTAAAAAGCTACGACACACAAAACTATTACATTTCATAGAATACAAAATCAAAAATAATAAAAACCCTTTCTTTTTAAAGAGTGCTTTTAATCTCCCAAATTCAGGATAGTAGCAAGACAAGTGAACATTTAATTTTAGTATATATATATATATATATATATATATATATATATATATATATATATATATATATGTGTGTGTGTGTGTGTGTGTGTGTATGTATGTATGTTCATGTTAATGTTATGTATGTATATATACGTATTTATATATATATATATATACATATATATTTATGTATGCATACACATATATGTAAAATATATATGTATGCATATTTACGTACTTAGCTACACACACACACACACACACACATATATATATATATATATATATATATATATATATATATATATATATATATACAGGTTAAATTATTTTTTGTTTTAATATCCTAAAACGAATTATATATATATATATATATATATATATATATATATATATATATATATATATATATACCAATACACGCATTCTACCTAAATACAATTTTTAGATTAATCAGTTTGTATGACGATCGCAAAAGCGTGAAACCCAGGTTAACAATCTCACATCTATCCAACCAAATATGTTAGCTCTATCACTGATATTGAGCGCTTTCTAAGTACCGATCATATACTATATCAATAATAATATATACAATATATTACATATATATATTTATTTATGTTTATATTTATATACACACACTTTTCACAAATAGACACACACACACACACACATATATATATTTATATATATATAATAGTTCACTTAACTGAGTACTATTCTTAAGAATGTTTGAAATTCTGCGAAAATAAAAGTTCAGGGTAGATAAGTTAACATTCAATTACATATATATATATATATATATATATATATATATATATATATATATATATATATATATATATATCACTTAACTGATTCGGACACCGATTTTCTTGCCTATATTAGCATTTTTATTCATCGTTGCATTTTGTAGAGAATTAAAATTACGTACAGATAGTATTTCTTCCTTCTTTCTTTGAAGGAACGTTATTCTTTACAATGACAATAGATTTTTTTTTGGTAATTCTACAAATGACGTATAATTAATGCCTGTGTTAAAATTATGATATTTTCAGTTATAATGTAAATCTTAAAATATTGATTTCACTTTTTGTGTTTTCGTATTTAATTAATTTCTAATATTAAATTCATAAAAACTATTGTCCATTCTCGTGCAAATTTTAGGACGATTTATTTATAGTCATATATTACTATCTATCTATCTATCTATCTATCTATCTATCTATCTATCTATCTATCTATCTAGTTTGCTTGCAAGCTATCATAGTTTCTTATACACTATAAACTTCTCTATGTATCTATGTATGTATGCATGAATATATGTATGTTTGTGTGAACGTATTTATCTGTTATATTTTATTAAACCTATCTATCTATCTATCTATATATCTCTCTATCTAGTTTGCTTGCAAGCTATCAGTTTATTTATACACTATAATCTTCTCTATCTATGTATCTATGTATGTATGCATGAATATATGTATGTTTGTGTGAACGTATTTATCTGTCATAGTTTATTAAACCTATCTATCTATCTATCTATCTATTTATCTATCTATCTATCTATCCTACTTTATTCATGTCCCATAAACCTCCCTATCTACCTACCTACCTACCTATCTATCTATCTATCTATCTATCTATCTATCTATCTATCTATCTATCTATCTATCCCCCCTCTCTCTCTCTATATATATATATATATATATATATATATATATATATATATATATATATATATATATATATATATATATATATATATATATCATAGTTTATATATACACTATCTATCTATCCTTATACATGTATGTGTGTATATGCGTGTGAGTGAGCGAGCGAGCGTATGTAATAGTCTTTATATGTCATTTTTGGTTTTTCGTAATCCTTTTATGTTTTGTTTTTGTGTGGCCGAACCAATGAGCGTGTTTCAGCCATCGGAAATACAAAATACAGACGAAAACCGTTGAACGTTGAACAAAAAGAAGTCGGAGTGACTTCAGATATACGGCCATGTGTTTGGAATCCACCGGGGACCACGAAAATGGCATTGTCCTCGTGCTGTTTCTTTCAGGAGACTCAATGACAAAGGCCACAGTATGCCAATACGATGACACTTGGCGGGATCACGTCTTGACAAATGGTGCATTGAATGTTAAAACGAAAGGGCAGCAACGCATTTCAAATGTGGGGAATCGACATCAGAGGAACGAGTCAAAAAAAAAAAAAAGGGGGTGCGCTCATCAAGAATTCTTGAATCGCTACTTGTCGGTTTTGACAGATTACTAGCACTAACTTGTCAACGACAAACAACAACCAAAAGCCGAGTGTGGTCAGGCTTCTTGCGAAGAAGAAGCACAGCCGACTACCTGGCATACGTCAAACGTTTTCGGCGCCTATTTAATTGTGCCCACCGGGAGCTCGCACAATATGCACCCGCTACGGCGATACGGTCAGCAAAATAAGACGAGAAGTGACCGATGGGCATTTGGGGGCAACTGGGTAGTCTTCGGCTAATTCGGAAGTGCAAAGGTATTGCATTAAATTGAATGAAGGCTATTGTGCAAAAAAAAAAAAAAAAAAAAAAATAGAAAAGAAAAAAAAAGGAAACAGATCTCTTTCCCGGAAAAGAAAAGAAAGACAGCTACAAGTTTGGGTGGGGGTAAGGTTTCGAGATCACACATCAGAAGCCGTTTCGCTTTCCATTTTATTCAACGTTAGACTCTTTGGTAACTGTATTTTATTTTTCTGATTGCTCTTGTCATATAAAAACAAAACGTGTATATATATATATATATATATATATATATATATATATATATATATATATATAAAAAAAGGCTTAAACACTAATATTCCATGGTCATAATTTATTCCATTGGAATCGTAAATGCGATCCAATTAATCAGACCTACAAATTCAAAAAGAAAACAGAAAAAACAACTCCGGGAATAAAAAATAAAATTTAGTGAGAGTGTATGTATGACAGTGTATGTATGACCATGGAATATTAGTGTTTAAGCCTTTTTATTATATTCTTACTCTGTCCTGGACATTGAGTTCTACCTGGATTCTATCCTCTTGGATTTTTTTTATACAAATATATACGTATGTGTATGTATGTAAGTATATATATTTATATAGTTTTGATATATGATTGCATATGTATGTGTATATTTACCACTAATATTATCTCTCTCTCTCTCTCTCTCTCTATATATATATATATATATATAGATAGATAGATAGATAGCGAGCGATAGAGAGATGGAGAGATAGATTAGAAGAAAGCAAAGCAAAGAGTGATGAAAGAAATTATGAAATAGAATTTCTCGTGTCGGTGGATTGTAACGCATATTTGGGATCTTTTTTTTTATGGAAACTGAAAACAAAAAGGAAAGGTACTTAACATCAGAAAGAGACAGTGGAAACTTCTAGGGCACATAATGAGGAAAGAGGGTTTGGAAAATTTGGCACTCGCAAGACATTGAAAATAAGAAGGACGAAGGGAAACGATAGATAGATAGATAGATAGATAGATAGATAGATAGATAGATTTAGTGATTGATTGATTTATAGTTATGATCAGTCCGTCATAGCCAAATGTCAAAAACTATCTGATGTTGAGTATAAAAGACTCCAAAAAGCTGACCGCTAATAACCTTCGACACACTAATTCAGCACGAACGAATAATAACTGATATCACTGGGGCAATAATGAAACGGTATCCCATATCAGCCAATCAATGGACACCTGATGATGGCCAGATTGTACTCAGTAGAAATGTTGTGGCTGTCTTGGCGTACATTCTAACCAAAATCTTTGTGTCTATAATAACATCTATCTCAACCAAGATGAGAACAATAGTTTCAAATAATACAAGAATACCGAGAAAGAATGCTTGGAAAAACTGACACTCACAGGACATTAAAAGTAAAGAACAACAAAGGCCAGGAAATTGTGGAGAGCCATGACCACCAACGTCCTGAAATGATATGGCACATGTTTTTATTTTTTTATTTTTTATTTTTTTTTACTAACAGAACTTACAGGATTAAATCAACACATTCATTTTTTCTCCTTAAACCTCTGAATTTAATCGGGACATATGACATAAAAGATATTTTTAACTATGGTACTCGAATTTAGATATAAATTAATGGAAGAAAAAGATATATAATTTTTTATATACCAATATTTCTACGTCGTTTCCTGGCAGATCTTCTATACTCATCACGTGGAATACTAAATAAGAAATTTTATAAAGAGATAAACAAAATTGTCTAGACTAGCAATCTCACGATCACGAATCCCATAACCCTATCAGGGTCGTTGGGGTACCAACAGTCAAAAGTTGTAAGACAGCCTGACGTAGCCCAACCATCTCCTGGCTGCTTTGAAGTTAAAGTTTTCCTTCTCCTAAACTGGTTGCCAACCAAGGCTATAATTTTCTCTGGGCGATGGTATTTTTCACACATAATTGCCATGACTTAAATAACATAACCCAGTCGAGAAATAAGTAAATTTTCACCAATAACACTAATTTATTTACTGCTGATTTTGATCCGCCTTAATGAAACACCCTTATATATAATCCGTCTTAATGAAACACCATTTATAATTGAATAAATGTAATTGTACTTTTTCTTTTTTACTCTGTCTATAATAATTTTTTAATATGTTTAAATATATGTATATATCAAAACTATTTTCATTTATCATGTTTTCATTTATAGCAAGCAAGAACACTTGAATATGGCATAATTGTTAGCAAGGTTGTCTCACCTTATCAATTACTACTGAAAAGTGAATTCGATCCTCACTAGGTGCTGCATACTTTCGGTCTTGTGCCACGTCTAAGCTTTGCTTAGTAAATTAATTCTTTTATTCTTCCCTGACTCTTCCCGGAAAAGTTGAAAATTCATATTAGCTCAAGACCCATGGGCCACCCCAACACCAGGCAATACCTCTCCTTTGAGAAGAAGCTGGGATCATTACCCGGCGAGTAAGTGCCATGTCCTACTTACCCGTACCTGGATGGAAGAGATGGATACCTACCCTTTTTGAAAGATTCGCAGTAAATTTATTTAAACTAAAACTCTTCATTTTATATGAAAATTTATGGCTGGATAAATTTATAACTGACATGTGATATTTTTCAAAATCGAATTCACCCCATGCAAGGCAGTAAAGTCACTAAGACACAAGGGGTTACTGGGTAGGAAAGAATTAGAAAACAGAAACATTAAGGAGCGAGAACAATAAAAGTGTAATCAGGAAAACAGTAGAAAACGATCGACATTGCATTTAAAATATCGAAGATTCATACCATTTCCAAATGGTGTAGGAATGTAATGAACTCGACCTGGAATTCGAACTCGGCTCTACCGATTCATTCATCCGAGTCGTTATCCATTACGCCTCCTGCAACAACCTAACGAAACAGAATAAAATAAAATGTAAAAGTTTAAAATTTCAGCGTCCTTTTCGTGCACATGTGTAGTTACATCAACGAAAACATCACTTTGTCCGATAAAGTCTTAAAGCCGCCTTTTGCAATTTTTTTCCCCACGTTGACATTAATTTTCCTAAATTCATATGTGCTGTATGTCTAAAAAAATAATTTAAATTTACAACTTACCAAGGGACGTTTCCTAAAAGCAGTTGATTAGAGCCTTGCATCCATTCTATTTGATCTGCCCGTTTCCGTGATATTAAATTTACAAAATCCATTGCACATTGTCTACGCAAATTTTGTGGTGATTTATATGTAATTAAACATTACTAATATCTATCTATCTATCTATAATTTCTTTATGTAACATAAATCTATCTATTATAACTTTTTTATGTTACATAAATCTCGTTCTATCTATCTATCTATCTATCTATCTATCTATCTATCTATCTATCTATCATAATTTCTTTATGTAACATAAATCTATCTATTATAATTTATTTATGTTGCATAAATCTCGTTCTCTCTATTTATCTATCAATCTATCTAGTTAGTTAGCTAGTTATATAGATAGATAGATAGATAGATAGATAGATAGATAGATAGATAGATATCATAATTTATTTATGCACCATAAACTTATCTATGTATGTATCTATTATATGATATTTATGCGCCATAAACCAATCTATCTATCTATCTATCTATCTATCTATCTATCATAGTTTATTTGTACACTCATCACGGAAGCAGGACGGATCAGATAAATTTTGCTAGATTTGCTAAATCTAGCATAATAATATATTAGTCCTAATAAGTAATGTTATTAAGGTTTATTAATACAAACTTTAATGATATGCACTACGTCTTTTTTTAACGCTGTTTCTGGCTGCCTTGCGCGGCTTCTAATCAATATTTTAAAATTAATCTAAATGCTGCTATTTTAAAATAAATAGTCGTATATTTGAAATTTTGAGGCGAGGTAAATTTTTAACGCTAAAATTAATGAAACTTCCCTGTGCCTTTTCTATAAGTATTTTCATGGTAATTGTCCTAATGAGCTTTCCCTGCTTCTTGTATATAAATTGTAAATATTCATTGACGTTTCATTTTTAAATGTTGTTATTTCATTCCCCCTCCCACCACCACAGACAAATTGAACATATGGGAACTAGTTAGAACTACATAGAGACTTGAGGTATTATGGTGACTGTAGCAAGAATGGTAAGTAAGAATGTGTTGTTTTGACTATTTAAATGCCAGCCTTCCTCCGTCTACCCCTTTTTGCTTTGTGTTGCATTTTGGAATTGTTGAAGGGTTCTCCCCTTTTTACACAAATGGACTCACCCAGGGTATACATATACTACTGCTAGTGAATACCCGGGAGAAGAACGAGCAAGAGTCACAGTGAGCAAGCACGTAGACTCAGTAAGAAGTCATAGAGTGATACGTCGATACAAAAGTCTGTATATATATATTTTGCTACTAACCCGCATTCTTGGAACTACTAACCTGCATTACCAGTTTGTATTATTACATTAATACATTTATTTTCCTATATTCCTTCTTGGCGTTTGTTATTTATTGGTACCGGATTTCATCCCGGAATCCACAACAGGTATTAAAACGAAACAAATGTTGCCTTCCCCTTTGGTATCTCGACTTAATGAATTTAAGCGGTGTACGAGACTGGTAGTGAAGTATCATTATTTTGCAGTTGAAATGGCTAAATGTAACCGTAAGTTCTATGTTAACAGTTTCCTCTCTTACATTTGGCGCTAGCGGAAATCTGTTCCAGCCTCTTCCTTTACAGTCTACTTTGATCTTCGAAAATTTAAACGTAATGTTAATTTTTATCGTCTGTTCTCTTAATTCCGATCCTTTTATTGTTCTCTCTCCTTAATAATGCTATTCTCTTTCTCATATCCTTTCACATTTTATAACCGCTTCCGTCTTAGTAGCTTTATTTCCTTACTAAGAGAAAATCATTTAAAAAAAATGTTTTAGCTTGAAAACGTGAGGCGAGATCATTTTTAATATTCAAGAATACAATTTTTGATTTACTTTGTTTAAAACATGTGCATGCAAAAATATTTAACTAGAAAAAATGTTGATTTAATATGAAAATATGTGGCTGGGGAAACGCATAACTAACAAAGTGTTTGTTAATTGAAGCGAATTCAACCCCTCAGTCAGTTATGTGCCATGGATGAAACACGCCTAGGTGACCATGTATGTTTCGATACATGACTGACGAGTCAGATTTTTCCCGCAGTAGGTCAACATTTCTTTCTACGGTAGACTAATTGCCATCCAAGGCTATAGAACCCTATTTAGAAGAATTTAGAAGAGGATTTATACCTTTCCCAAGGGTATTAGCACGTAAGTGAATGTAATGTATTCGACTGGAATTCGAACTCGGCTCTAGTCCTAGCTGCTATCTATTGCTCCACCGTGTCTGTCTCTTCGTTCTCTCTGTCTCTCTCTCTCTCTCTCTATATATATATATATATATATATATATATATATATATATATATATATATATATATATATATATATATATATATATATTATTAGATAGATATTAGTTTATTTATACACCATAAACTTATCCATGTATGTATGTACGTATTTATGTATCTGCCTATCTATCATAGATTATTTAAGGACCATAAACCTGTCCACCTATCTATCTTCTGGGTTACTGGATGTGAAAGAATTAGAAAGCAAACATTATTAAGGATCGATAACAATACAAGAATAACCAGGATAACATTATATAACGATTAACATTATATTTAAATATTTGAAGATCAAATTTGGCTGGAAAGCAAGAAGCCGAAATGGAGTTCCATAAGCGAGAAGAAAAGAAACTGAACTTAGAGTTACATCTAGCCAGCTCAACTGTAAACTGATGAGAACTTTTTATCTCGTACTGCGCTTATATCCATCAAATATAGGTATTATAGCGAAGAGCTCATTCGAACAATTACCATAAAAGTAATTATAAAAAAGGCACAGGGAAGCCATATTACGGCTGTGGGAAAATAACTGAATCCGAGATGCCAAATCAGGACCCATAATATTGCTGATTCTTTGAATTTTATCCAGAATTTTTTAATATATAGCAAGAATAACGGACCACACGTGGCAGCTGTATTGGAATCATGGGCGAATGGTAAATTTATAGATATGCAACATTTACTTTGAAAATGTGATGCAGGTAAGAATTTTCTAAACTAAAATACATGCATAAGTTTTACAGGTATGAGGCGGGCTAAATTGTTTAAGCACTAAAATGTTATATTTAATCTAAATTAGCAGTATTTTGTGTGTTAGGTTGTTGCATATATTCGTTCGTTTTTGCTGATGTTCAGCGCATGATCCCGAGGAATGATATTTCGTACCATTTTTTTTTTACTTCTTTGTAACTCTAATCATTTCGGGAACGTGTTGTTAAACGTTCTTAAAATTTTATTTCAGATTAGGCACCATGAGTAGACAAAAATCAGCATTTTCGACTTATTCCCTTTGCTTTTTGATCAAGTTTGCAAATCTACTCGCCACATTTGTGCTGTGTACGGAGTTGACTTCATACCAACAGAATGACACAGAAATGGTTTTTCCCGTTTCAAGTAAGGGAAGTTCGAATTCACAGACTCTCCTTGTTCTGCCCGACCCGTTCAGTTTGATGAGAATTAATTGGACTCACTAATTAAAGAAGGGTCGTGACAGACCGCTAGTCTCAGAAGATGGCAAAGTCTCATGTTTCTCTCGCTCGTCTTTACCCAAATAATGTCCAGAAACACAAAGCCACATGCACTGACCGAGAGAAACACACTCAAGAGTTCTTCCATTGCTGCCGGTTTCCTCAGTCGACACCTGGCGACTCGTGGCTCAAAAAAAGAGAGCCCGATTGAGAAGTTCTGCCATATCTAACATGATCTCCTGATTTAACCCCTTCAGACTACCATCCTTTTTTTGTCGCTTTCCAACAATTTGAGGGATGTTTCGTTCAACAACGATGTAGATCTTAAAATGTGGCTTGATGAATGTTTCGAGTCAAAACCTCGTGATTTCTATCGTCCACGCATTGAATCGTTAGCAGGGGATCTTGTATGATTTATCAGAATAAATAATAAAGTGTTTTTTTAATTTAACACTTACTATTTATTAATTATGCAACACCCTTATAGTTTAACTTTCAAAATTCGTTTATATTGATTATTTTTTCAATATTCATTGAGGTGGCATAAAGCAGTGGAAGGTGGCGCAAAAAAAATAAAACCGTTAACTACAACAGATAATGTTCATCTAAGAATTTCGAACATATAAAATTATTATATTTTCATGTTGCTATATTAATGTATCATTCACTAGTTTCTCATTGTGAGATTATATCCCATAATTTTTACTCTCTTTTCTTACAACACTGAAAATTAAGACTATTTAAAATATTCACGGTGAAATCTGTTTTTTTCTGCAAAAGAAATAAGTGTTAATTTCACTCGTAATTGAAATACAATAGTAAGTCAAAAGTTATCCCTACTTTCGCGATATCTCTTTAGGTTCTCACATTGCCTTTGCTGTTACAGTGTAAACATGGCCGCTCCGCTAGAAGTGTGCACCAAAGATGAACAAAGAGCAGTGATCCGAATCTGCAGAGAACATGCTACCTCGTCGATGGTAAATTGCCGGTTCGCCATTAGCATCTATCACGCTTCCTGAATCTTATAGTCAGTGATGGAAGCTGACTTCTACGCGGTAGTGCACTGTAGCCGTATCGTGTTAAATGTCTTCGATGAATTTCAGCCCCTGACACATATTCTGACCATAAAAAACGATCGCTGCTCTTTTTTTCTTCTTGGTGCACACTGCTAACGGAGCGGCCATGTTTATACAATAGCAGCAGCAAGAAAGCCGTCACGATCATGCTCAAACTTCGATCACGTGACAAGAATAAAACCGAGTCAGCACGTATAAACAGAAGGCAGTGTAACAAGCCTAAATATATGTTATGGCAAAAATACTGATAACTTTTTTTTTATTTACCCTCGTATTGAAACCGCACGACGAAAACACAAAAAACTGACTGGAATTAATTGACTTTATAATGAGGCCAATCCATGAGGCAAGTTTGTATATATCAAAGCAATATTGGCGGGAAATGTATATCAATGTGGAAAAGGTTTTCGTGTGACGTTTTTCGTCTTATGTCCTAAAGGACAAAAAGCGTGACACGAAAACTTGCCAGGGTTGGGGAAACCTCCTGGGGCTTGGTCTTAAATATTCAAAGAATATGAAAGACCTCGGTATATATATATATATATATATATATATATATATATATATATATATATATATATATATATGTGTGTGTGTGTGTGTGTGTGTGTGTTTGTTTATTTTGGCAGCATATTTTCATTCAAGCAGGTTTGGTTAAATAATTTAGACTCATTATGTCTACTCATTTAAATTTTATTCCTTTCGAGACCACGAATTAATTTCATGGTGGCCATAGAAAATTGAAAAATACCAAAATTTCCTTTCAAACAATTTTTTTATTTTCCCAAGAACTTTCAATCTGATCTGAGACCATTTTCAGCAGGTTAAATTGTCTAAGGATATATATATATATATATATATATATATATATATATATATATATATATATATACGTACTTCCGTATATTCAAAAATATTTTTTCACTGTTCGTTTTAGT